CTTTGTACACAACTGGTTTTTGTTCCCCTGGCTACTTTCCTTCTCCCCAAACATAATCTTGGAGGGTGGGGGGAAGTCCTTATGTTTAAAAATACTATTCTGACTTCAAGGTTCTGCCCCAGTACAGGAGGCCTTCCTGCAGTTCCTCAGATCTCTCCTCTAAGCTCACCATGCCCTATTCGGACCTTGAAACAACATTCTGCCCTACTTATTATTTATGCCTTCTCTCCCCAAGGTTTCGTAAGGTCCTTGAAGGCGGGCACCACGTCTTTTGTTCAGCAACCAGAGAAGTGCAGGGGTGGGAGGGGGCAGACAAAGAGGAGATGAAGAGAGGAAGAAGACATGAGAAAGCAGTAGGAGAGCGTGGTGAGTGGGAAAGTTCAGTTTTAAAGTTTCCTCAGTCAGAAACTTTTGGCTGAAGACAGATCCTCCAAACAGCTAACATATCTTCCTTCCAGAACAATCCCAAGACACTGAATGATTTTTCTCCTGTTTTGCCAGCACGGCACCTCCCTTTCTTCTTGTTTTCTGTCTGCATTGCTACCGAGTCAAACATGTCAGGGCGACACCACACCACGGTCACTCGTTTGGCACCGAAGCAGGCTCAAATCCCCCCGACATCTGTCGAGTCTCCTTTGACTTCGGGGGTGGGAGGGCGGGGCAAAGCCTGCCTAGTGGATTAGCTTTAGGAAGAATTTGATCAACATTCCTAGAAGAGTTGCCTTTTCGATATAAATTTTTATTAAGATTTACAAAAGCAGAATGCCAGCAACTCCAAGCATGGCTGAAAGCTGGTTCACTTGTCATTCTTCCTCACCACGTTCAGCCCAAAGAAACGACAGCAGCTCTTCGCAGACACTCCCAGCCTCCTCCCTGACAGCAGCGTCTCCGGCAGGGAGGTAGAGAGGGAACCCACTCTGGATAAGCTAGTGAGTTAATCCTTTCCAAAAAGGCAGGGCAGCGTCTTATTTCCTGTATTAGAAGAAACAGTTTCAGTTTCCGCCTGACTCTTCCTGGAGGAAGAACAAAGAAGGGCACTATGGGAAGAGTCGAGAAACATATTTCACTCATGTGAGGGATATAGACCTGAAAGAAACAAATGAGCAAACAAGACAAAAACTCTCAGACACAGACTGCAGTAGGACGGTCACCAGAGCGGCAGGGCGGGGGTGGGAGATGGCAAAGGGAAAAAGAGGTCAAGTACATGGTGACACAAGGAGACGCGGCCTGGCGTGGTGACCACACAATGTAACGATGACGTGCTGCAGAAGTGTACACTTGAAGTCTCTGTAATTTTGTTAACCACTGTCATCCCGACACATTTAATAAGAGGTTTTTTTTTTTAAATATAGCTCCACAAAGGCAGCTCCCTCTGGCACCGGAGGCCTGGGCCCACAGCCCTGGCAGGTGTTCTGCTTCGTCTCCCTCCGTCACCTCCCCCAGCTGTGTTTGTCTCACCTCCACAGATGTTCTCTGCCTCGGTCTCTCCCTGCAAGGACATCCCTGAATCAAGAAAAGAAGTCGTGGGATAGAGACGAAAGAGGCCAAGCTACCCCACCCGACCATGCGTCACCACCATGGCTAGCCTGCCCCAAAGGAGCTGTGCCCTGGCTCCCTCCTGGCTGCCCCGAGAGACTGAGCGATGCCGCGTCACCCAGACCCACAGCGCTCCACTTCCCACTGCCCTGCTGCCCTGCTGTTTCCAACTTGAGTTCAAAACAGCCGACTTCACAGCTTCTGCCATTTAGTAACCCTCCCACAGAAGGACCTAACACAAACCCCTTAGAAGAGCTGAGCAGACATCAAATACTCAAAAGTCCAAACTACCTAGACTGGTAGAGGTTAATGGTCTGCATTAAACACGAATAGAAAGTGTCAGTTTTGTACTCGGATGATGCCTGCCAGAGAACTGAGTCAGACACACACATGAAGCATGATAGGTGGGGGCACAGGGTGGGAACGCCATCGCGGTGACCGGGAAAGGTCTAAGCAGCGAGTGAATGTGGGTGTGCCCCAGCCTCCTTCCACCCCTGCGCACTTCCATCTGGACCTTCAACTCTCCTTTCCCGGTGCAGAGCTGCCTGAGAAATAACCTTTCAATATTTCATTCCATTTATAATCTTTATAGCCACATAACCACTAAGGGTTGTGCTACTGAGCAGGGTATATGGCAGCAACCCAAGTATGGGCAATTACTAGAAAAATAATTACAAGAAAATAGTTAAGTACCAATTTAAGATTTTCATTCACCTTGTCTTTCTACAATGTTGGTTTATCAAATTAGCTCACTGCGAAAAAGAGAAAGTCCATCATATGTCTGTGGAGCTTAGAACTCACCTTCCTTTTCATTCTGGAATAAGGAACAGGTCTAGAATACTGTTATTTGATTCAGGTTCAAGTGTAGTCAGTCACAGGGACAGGATCAGGACGCTACTCTGAGACTTTCCATTCTATTTCACGGTCCTTAAAGAAAGAGCTTGAAACACCAGGCTTCATTACCCAGAGCATTCAGATATACCAGAGGTTAAATCAACTATATCTAAGGAGAAAAATGATCCACCTTATGCCTTGGTGTTTGCTGGAAAGTAACCCCTAGGTGAGTCCCATGAAGATGCTGGAAGGGGCCCCTGGAGAGGCAAAGAGTCTTTCAGTGCCACAGGCAGATTTCCTCGTCTGGATTCGTAACTCACGGGCAGGTGACGGCAAGCAGGGCACGCTGTGTGCGGGGCCCCAGCACAGTGTCACTGTCACAGCACGAGTGTTGTGCGTGAACTTTACAGTCGGCAGTACAGGCGTTGCCTGAAAGCAAACCTCAACTTTGGTTCACAATTACTCTGAAACAGAACAGGGCAGGACAAACTGGAGGGTCAAACACAACAGGACTTGTAGCTGTTTCAAAATGTTTAAAAGGCAGGTTTAAATAGACCATTGAGAGTTCAGTTATTATAATAAGTTGAAAACATCTGTCTCTAAAAGTATTAACTCATGTCATAGTTAAAACAGATTGCTAAAATAATGGCCTTCTTTTTTAATCTGAGAGCTTAACTTACCTGTCTGTGAAATAGAAACGCCGGATTTTCACATCAAAAGATGGGTGGCAATGCACCATGAGGTTATTGGCGCCCTGCTAGAAAAAGCTCTCTGATGAAGGGCACAGTAAACTAACAGTCGATGGCATTGGTAATTTCATGAAAAGACACAAAACCAAGGGACAGCACAGACTCAGGTGTTCGCACGTCGATGTCCACAACGGCCCTGCGCACGGCAGCCGAAGGGCAGAATCACCTGACCGCCCACTGCCAGGTAAACAGCTGGACAGAGTGAGGCCCGTACACGCGGTGGAATATTGTTCAGCCTTAAACAGGAATGCCATTTTGATACGCGCTACATCACGCATGAACCTTGAAGACATTATGCTAAGTGAAATAAGCCAGACTCAGAAGAACACATATTCTAAGAGTCTACTTACGTGAGACCGGGAAGAGTCAAATTCCCAAGAGACAGAAAGTAGAAGGGCGGTTACCAGGGGGAGAGCGGGTACGGGAAACCACTGCTTAGTGGGTAGGGAGTTTCAGTGTGGGATGGTTAAAAAGTTCTGACATGCACAGTGGTGACGGTTAAATAAAAGCCACTGAATTTTATACTTAAAAGTGATTAAAATGATAAATTCTACGTTAGGTATATTGTGCCCCAATAGAAAATTCAAATGAGAAGTACAAGGTGGCGAGTTCTTTTGTGATTTTGACCCATAGAACATATGCTAAAAAAAAAAATACAGAAACAAAAAAAGCTGAATCAGCAGAGCACTGGAAATGTGTGTCTCTAACACACACCACACAAAAACAGACTGGGGTCCCTCAACCCAAAGCCACTCATCCTGTGTGTTTACCACCAACACAGTTAATGGCTATCATGACTGTGAATAATGCATCACATAAAGCACAAGTTCCAACCAAACACACAGAGAGAGAAACTGAAGCAATGGAAACGTGTCAACACACCGACACAGCAACCATCTGTTGACACCACTGTCCCCTGAGTCCCAGGGACCGAAACCACGTGGTAGGGCTGGGAGCTTCACCTCGGCTGTGGAGGCCTACTCTCATGTCATAGGGCACTTCTGGAAGGAAGCTGTGTGATGGCGGCTCTGAGGACCTGCAGATTTCCTACCCGTCCTGCTCAGGAAGTCGCTCTTGGGTCTCACCTGCACGAGTTCCTGTTATGAGGCCAGGGAGCCGGTCGGTTGAAACCCAGTTCCAGGGGCTGATGTCATGGGGACTGAGCTCTGATCCTGGTGACCTGCCCCCCATCCCAGTGTTGTTGCAGCCCTTCAGCTGGGGTTCAGGTTACAAGGGGACCGAAGAGGAAAAAGGGGGCGTCGGATAAGAGAGAAAGGAAGAATGCTTGCACATTTCCTTTGTTTCACTAAAGTATTTTCTGCTTCCATTTAATTTGATGGGAGGACCTGACCGATGGCAGATGGCAGATGCTCTTGGAATTGGGGGTGGGGTGGGGGGGGTTCACACATACCTCAACAATACAAAGGACTGAAACATACAGAAAGCTTCCATTATTTCTGGTAGCTCCTAACTTGGGAATAGTGACTTATTCATCCTCCTCTGAGTAAAGTTAAAAAAAAATGCATTAACACTTTTAAAACATTTGTAAATTGTTATAAACAATGCATAACCACAGGACCTATCTTAGCAGCTGAATGAAATAATACAAATGTTTGAAGATGTGTGAATATCCATATTCTTTCTATAAAATGTCAAGTAAATCAGGAGGTCGAATGTGGAAATCCTGTCACTATAAGTAATAAAATACAATTGCCATTCAATTCCATTTAGATGATGAGATCCTTTGGTCCTTAGCATACCAAGCCAACAACTAAATCAATGCCGAGCATAAGAAATAGAAATTTCTAACATTCCAAAATAAAAGGAAAAGAAACCTTTCTTTAAAAAAAATAAGTCCTAAGCAATTAAGTGAAGGAGAGATTTAAATTCTTACCACGTTTATTTTACTTCATGATTTCTTAGTCCTTATTAAGCTGATACAATCTGGGGGTGTGCATACCCCCTCCCCTTCTTTGCCGCATGTGTATTAGTGGAAGAACAGAGCATGAGAGAACGGGCCAGGGCTGCAGGAAGAAGAGCTGGAGAGAGAGACACAGCAAGTGTTTACATGAACGTTTCCATGAGCGGTACCAACCAGCCAAGTGTAAAGTTGACACGATACAGTGTTTCCTTCGCACGTGGACTTCGGAGTGTATGGAACAATTTGGGACCACATTGGACATACATTAATTACACAGCATTGTGAAACGTGTTTCCTATCAGACATGATGAGTATATTCCTTTTTTCTTCACTTTTTTAAGCTCCACAGATGACATTATTTATGAAGCACTTCTCATATATTATTCAACAAATATTAATTTGATCATGTAAAACTATCTTGGTTAGCAAAAAGCACGGTTAGCTGCCATGTAAAGGTCCTCCTTTCGAGCAACACTTCATTGCACACGGAGTTCTGTATCGGAGGAGGTTCTCGACGGGCGTTCCTTCCAGCTGGGTTTCCGACTCCTGCGCCGCACTGAATGTGGATAAAGTAGAGATCACACCTTGGTTAAAGGTCTGTTCAGGACAGCTCCCGGCACACGCGGCCAGCATCTTGTCCAGACAGTAACTGCAAAGGAATTGTTCTCTTTCAGCCTCTTGATCGCCCATTTCCTCTAATGGTCTCACCCCAATGCTCTGGGGCTGCACAGGTGACCAGGAGGCAGAGGTGCCTCTGCGCTGGGGACGCCTGTCCCGGAGAAGACCAGAGTGTCCGCAGCCAACCCTGCGTTATGTTCATCTCATCAGCTGGGCCCAGTCCACGGGGGTAAAAAATGGATGAGATTTGATATCTTCCACCCCAGCGACTCCAGCACCAAGACGCTCCACGGGGTTGAACTGCAAGAGCTGAAAAAGAGGATTTGGTGACTAACAGGAATCCAACGAGCAAATCAAAGGAAAACACAAAAATATGGAAGGAAAGAACCTGTAAATCCAACCCCAGTGACAGACAGACTTGACAAACAGCCAACTGACGATATTTTCTTGAATGGAAGCTACGTCCAGCATCCCCTAGCTGTGGGGCAGTGGGGGATATCTGAGTTTGTGGCTTTTCGACTGATTTGAAACATGACCTTGAGTAGTTCATTTCTCTTATCCTCATGTAGTTATACCTATGAATTCCCTATTCCAAAAGTAGGATGTGACATTAATTTGATATTGCACCAAATTCTGAGAGGTCTAATTACTCCTTTCATGGGTAGAAAGAAAGTCTGGGAGGCACCTAGACCCCTAGAGAATTACAGATACACTGCGACTAAACTTTACCCAAAGTCAGAATTAGTCAATTATATTCCAAAATTGTTTCCTTTAGCATAGCTGACTCACATGGAACAACTCGACCCAATGAGTAAAATGCATGTTGATTTCTTCACTATTAGAATTCCTGTATGAAATAAGTTAGTGCTATTGTATGTAACAGAACTGTTGAGTGTGGGAAACAAAAGTACTCATACACAATTATTGCAGACCACGGGCATGCTGGAAGAATGTGTCTTGAGACATTCGTGCAACCTCAAATTTTTGTGTCAATAGCTTCACTGAGGAATAATATATACAGCATAAAATTCACATGCTGTCAGTGTATGACTTAATGATTGTTAGTAAAGCTGAAGAGCTTCGCAAGCATTACCACTGCCCTGTTTATGAACAAACATTTCGATCACCCTGAAAAGTCTCCTCACGCTGCGTACAGTCAGTCCTCGCCGCCATCCCTGGCTCCAGGCAACCACTGTTCCGCCTTCTGTCTCTGTGTACTTGCCCTTTCTGGGTATTTCACGCAATGCAACCACAAAGTGCACTGTCTTTTGCAGCTCCCTTTCACTTTGCATGTTTCTGAGATTCACCCACGTTGCAGCAGGTACCAACAACCCATTCCTTTTTATTTCTGACCAGCGTTCCACTGTTTGACTATAACCCATTTCGTTAATCTATTCATCAGTTAACGGACATGTGCACTTTTCAGCTTGAGGCTATTACGAATACAACTGCTATTTACCCTTTGCATACATGTCTTCGTGTGGACATGTGTTTTCATTTCTCTTATGAACACTGCTAGGAGTGGAATGGCTGAGTCATGTGGTAAGTTCAGGCTTAGCTTTGTAAGAAACTGCCAAACTTCTCTGAAGTAGCCATACCATTTTATATTGCCACCAACAACATATGAGGGTTCCAGTTTCTCTACATCCCTTCCAATACTTCGTGCCCTCAACCTTTTTTTATTGTAGCCCTTCTAGTGAGTATTAGTGGTATCTTATGGTTTTAACTGGTATCCCCTAATGACTAGGGATGGCAGCATCTTTTCATATCCTAATAAGCACTTCATATGGCTTCACTGGCAAATCTTTGCCCGTTTTTATATGGAGTTGTGTTGAGAGCCGACCAAAAGCCAACCCTTGACACAGTGAGGACAGATGAGATGCATCTGCACAGCAGAGGCAACTGTGGCCGGATCTCCTATCTATCTCCTCCTGTATGCCTGTCCCTGCTAGCAATAGGTGGCGGGATTTTTGGACACCCGTGTGTTGTAGTGAAGGGTCAGCACGATGCCTCTGATTCTGCGCAGAGTGACTTGCTGACCACAGAATAGAGCTCCCTAGCAACCCTAGTGCTGCCTACTTCCCCCACCTGGGAAGTTGGGGACAAAATTAAACTATGGGCAGACAACTGCCAGAATGCTGAAGGCAGCTGTTGCTAGGAATGTTTCTTAAGGAGTCATCACTTAAAAGCTTAAGATTTATTAGAACCATTGCCCCTCCCATACCTTGGACAGGAGTGTAAAGAAGCAAGGAGTTCTAGTTGAAAATAATAATCTCAATACATGGAAACGAATACAAAACATGCCCCCGCCCCAAGATGTATAAATCAAAAGACCTAGGTAGGAAACCAGTTACCTAACCTAGACAAATTTAACCTCAATGGACAATAGCTAATTTCTATATAACCTATAAATCACCCCTGCACCCTTTTAACTTAGACCAATCCTTAGAATCTTAATAGACACCTAGTTACTAATTGGCACCTGAAAGTTTGTGCCCGTATAGCTTCGTTGGCTATCTGATTAACGACCTTCTTGGTCAAAATAACCTTTGTTCAATATGGTTGATCTGTGTGGGACCTCCTGTGCTTTTCGGTTATTTCTTTGTTTAACATGATTGATCTGTAAAACCTTCTGTACTTTTCGAAATTATTTCTATGGTAACCGTTTCTGTTTTAATAATCACACTACGCATTGAATGTTGTATAACCTCCCCTATAAAAATAAAGATTGACTTTTCTCGGTGAATCAGTCGGGCCCAAAAAGCCTGGCTGTCCTCTGGCCCCCACCCGGTGTCTTGCTCCAGTCTCTCCGCCTGAGCCGTGCATCCTTCGGGGACCCTGAGACCCTGCCGAGGCTGGACCCCGGCAGAGCTGGCTGCTTATTGAGTTATAAGAGTTCTTTATACACTCTGAATACAAGTTCATTATCAGTTATATGATTTCAAATCTTTTCTCCCAGTCTGTGGCTTGTCTTTTTGTTTTCTTACCAACGACTTCAAGTATAAAAGTTTTAATTTTAATGAAGCCCACCTTTATCAATTTTTCTTTTTGGTATTATGTCTAATAACTCTTTTCCTAATCCAAGGTCATGAAGATTTGCTCCTGTTTCTTTTACAATGTTTATAGTTTTAGCTCCCATAGGTCTATGAGCTATTTTGAGTTAATTTTTATATATGATATGAAGTAAGAGTCTTAGTTGTTTTGGTTTTACAGGTGAATATCTGATTTTTCCGAGTACCATTTGATGAAAAGACTTTTACACCATCAGATTATCTCCACGTCTTTACTGAAAATCTATGGACAATAATGTACGGGTTTATTTATGGACTCCCAGTTTCATTCCATTGATCTATACACCTTTCTCTGCTCTAGTAACACTGACTAAGTACCAGTGGCCTCACACTGACTGTGGAAACCAGGCGGTGTGAGTCCTCCAGCGCTGTTCTCTCTAAGATGATTACGGATACTCTAGGTCCCTTGCCTTTGCATGTACATCTTGGAATCAGCTAAAGGTTTCTCAGTTTTGCTGGTCTTTTCAAAGAGCTGACTTGTAAATACCTTGATTTTTCTCTTTTTTTATTTCATTCATGTCTGCTTCCTTTCTTCTGCCTGCCTAGGTTTCCTTGCTTTTTATAGTTTCTTTCTCTAGTTCCTTAATGTGCAAGGTGAGATTTTTATTTGAGGCCTTCTTTTTTGATAAAGGTCTTTTAAAACTAGAAATTTTCCTCAAAAACTGATTTAGCTGCATCCTATAAATTCTAATATATTGTGCATTTGTATTTGTTTTTAGTTCATTAAAAACATTTTCTAGCTTCTCTTGGGATTTTTTTTTCTTTGACTCATAGGTTATTTAGAAGTGTGTTGTTTAATTTCCAAATATTTGTGTATTCACCAGGTCTCTTTCTGTTGATAACTGCTAATTAAATTGTTATGGTCAGAGTAGGTTGTATTATTTCAGTCCTTTTAAATGTTGAAACTTGTTTTATGGCCTATTATATTCTCTATCTCGGAGAGTGTTCCACGTATATGTGATAAGAATGTATTCTGAAATCACTGGGTGGAGCGTTCTCTACACATATCAGAGTTGTTTGATAATGTGGTTGGAGTCTTCTCTATACCCCTGCACATCTCCTATCGATCATGAGAATGGAGGAGTGACGCCCCCATTTATGATTATCGGATTGCCTATTTTTGCCTTCAGTCGGACCTTGCCTCATGTTTTGCAGCTGTTATTAGAACAATATATCTATAATTGTTGTATCTTTCTACGTGCTGACCCTTTTATCATTAAGAAACATCTGTCTTAGTCTCTAGGAAGCCTCTTACCATGACATTTAGTTTGTCTGGCGTGTAATTTGGCCACTCCCACTCTCTTATGGTCTCTGTTTGCACGGCTTTCTTTTCCCATCCTTTTCCCTTCAACCTGCCTGTGTCTTCGAACTTAAACTTTATCTCTCGTACCCAGAAGATATGGATCTTCCTTTTTTTATCCAGGTCAACAATCTCTGCCTTTTGTTTGGCACGTTTAGACTTTCACACTGAATGTAATTATTTTTTTTAAAGATTTTATTTATTTTATTTTTAGAGAGGGAAGGGAAGGAGAAAGAGAGAGAAAGAGAGAGAGAAACATCAATGTGCAGTTGCTGGGGGCCATGGCCTGTCACCTAAGCATGTGCCCTGACTGGGAATCGAACCTGCGATGCCTGGTTCGCAGCCTGCGCTCAATCCACTGAGCTATGCCAGCCAGGGCTTGAATGTAATTATTAATATTGTGGGGTTATATTTGCCATTTTGCTCTTTGTTTTCTACATCTATTGTTCTTTTTGTTCCTCTCTTACCACTTTCTCTGTGCCAAATACGTTTTACTGTAGTATTTCATTCCTCTATTTATTTTTTTGGTGGTTAGTTTAAAAATTACAGTATACATTTTAGTTTATTATAATTAACTTCAGATTAATACTACCTTAATTCCAGTAAAATGTAGAAACTTTGCTCCACTATACCTACATTCCTTCTACCTTCTTTTGTTTATTATTGTTATATGAGGTCTGTCCAGAAGGTCTCTAGCCATGTAATATAAAAATACAGACATTTGTTGAAGAAGATACAAGATATAAGAAACACTGTACATATGGCAATGATGCCTCAAAGTAGGCACCTTGAGACCTCACACAGTTCACCCCATTGCCATCAGCGGCCCCGTCGCATTTTCCTGAATCCCATCGATGGTCTGAAATCTCTTCCCTTTCAAAGGCAATTTTAGTTTTGGGAAAAACCAGAAGTCATAGGGCACTAAATCTAGGCTGGAG